AGTACAGCAGCCATGGAGCAGGCAGAACAACCACACAGGTATTTCTTCTGAGTTGCTGGCTGCAATTTCACCACTAAACTACATATATAATATACATATATAAATAAGGCTACACAGTAATAATCTAAAGTAGTGTCCTGACAAGAAGGACCTCTGTAAAGCTTGTTTTCTATGTAAAGCTTAGCACAGTCACAGTATCTATGTGAGATCCATGGATGGCGTAAGTGGTGTGGTGTGGAGGCCACCGCTGGATTGCCACTGGTTGACAGTGGTGTAGCTGGGAAGACTGAAGCACTGAGAGATGTGCTTCAAGAATAATGACTTATATACGTGCACAAAGGAAGCCTCAAAATACCACTTTGTACTGTATGGTAAATGCCTGTTTTAATTGTACTCTGAGTGTGAAACGTGGGCAGTTGCCGAGTGATTCTGTGCAGAGACATTGAGCGACTCTGGCAGAGAACAATCGAATTTGAGACACTAGTATGTTAACCTCAGATAATTATCTACTTTGGCCACATTCATTCACAAGGAGATGTTTAAAGTAGGGCTCCCGCGCATCTTAGGCAAGCGTGTCATTTAGATTAAATGGTGACTTTTCAGCTATAGACTACACAATACAGTCAGCTCAGTCAGGTTTTGCATTTTCTTCATGGGTTCCGTTTTAGGAAAAAAAAAACACCTGTAGTGCACAGGCTGTAATAAAATATTTTGAACATGAGGATGCAACACTCACGTCACATTTCTTTGGATATCATGTTAACAGGTACATCATTTTCTCTATTTATGTGGCAGAAAATGTGTGTGCTACTCTATGTAGTCAATACACATTATTCCAAATGGATCTCTAAGCCCTGCATAATTAAAACTAACTTGCTATCATTGTGAGTAACAAGTCATGGTAACAGCATGCAAAACAAAGCACAAAAATCTATAATAACTAAACAGCTAAACTATCTATTATGTACACCAGCTTGTCACCAGCTGTTTGGCATTTGTAGGAGTGTGCAGTGGGTTTTCAAGCTGTTTAACTGAAAACAACTACTTGTCGTAGCCAAAGGTTATGCCAATGAAAGTAAAAACACTGAGCTGAAACATGCTGTAAAGCTCCATAGGGTTAAGAGTTGCTGCCTTATGTGATGCTACAGGTAGTACCCTGTCCCGTGTTTGTTCTCTTCACTGCAGTCAGAGGCAGGAGGAAGATGCTTCTGGTAGCATTAAGCCAGAGGGAGGGGCCAAATTTAAATGATGCGTATACAAGCAGTAATTGACAACTGCCTCAAGTAATCTCTAACAAATGCAGTGCAAAATGACCAATGATCAAAAAAATGACCTTTTATTATCAGCTAATATCATTATACAAAGGCTCATATTGCAAAGACAGATGAAGCGCTTGTCCAACTGAGCTCCATCTGAAGCAAGCAGCCATTGTGACTGAATGCTGTGAGTGGACAGATGGAACAGAAGCAGAGATGGAGTTAGTTAAACCAGGAAAAAAGGGAGAGGCTGGTGCGGGTGGCAGAGGCAGCAAGAATATTAGGGAGGAGTCTGTGTTTGTGTGTACATATAGATGTGTGAGAGTGTGTGAGTGAGATAGCAAGAGACAGACACACACACGCACGCACGCATGCACGTCATATCTTTGCATATGGGCATGTGCATCAATTTTGTCTCTGAGCTTGTGTGTGCGTTTGATTGCTTGTATAGGTGCAGGTGTATCCATCTGTGCACAACTGTGTGTGTGTGTGATGAATTAGTGATGGCAGCTGGTAGAGCAGTGTGCTCCCTCAGCAGTGGTGACAGCAACTGTTAGTGGTGCTGTCTCCGCCCAGCCAGACTTACTGGGTCCTCTTCATCAAACACACTGGCTCATTAATGCTGCAGGGCCCAGTGCCGTGTCGCACCGCCCCACCCGAGAACCCAGAAGCACCAGAGCTGGGGAAGGGAAGCGGGGCAGCTGGGGTGAGTTGATGTGTCCTGAGCCT